GCTAGCGGCCCCACTGTATTCAATCACCGGGAAGAAGCCCTTCAACTGGGGACCAGATCAGGAGATTAGCTTTGAAACCCTCAAACAGGCTCTGTTGTCTACACCCGTGCTCGGGTTACCAAACAAAACAGACCCCTTCCTGCTCGATACTGACGCCTCTGACCTGGCTATTGGGGCGGAATTGATTCAAGTTCAGCACGGAGAGGAGAGAGTCATGAGTTATGGCAGTTTCGCACTGACCCCTGAACAACGACGTTATTGCACAACACGCAAGGAGTTGCTTGCGGTGATCCGCTTCACAAGGCAATACCACCATTACCTTCTAGGTCGCCCTTTCACTGTCCGCACAGACCACAACAGTCTTCGTTGGCTCCTAAATTTCAAATCTCCAGAAGGACAGATTGCTGGGTGTCTGGAGGAACTTGGACAGTATGATATGGTTGTGGAACATCGCCCAGGGGCAAAGCACCAAAATGCGGATGGGTTGTCCAGGATCCCGTGGGACAATGACTGTGACAGCTTTCAAAGATCGGTGGCGCAAGACCAAAGATGCAAATTTGGAGATACTGTTGAACTGGGTAGACAAAAAGGAAGTACCCTCTGACCAAGAACTTTTTCTGGCAGGTCCAGCAGCCAAATCATATTACCTGAACAAAGAACTGTTCTACCGAGACTCCCGAGGGGTGCTAGTGAAAAAGAACACCAGAACTGAGAATCTCCCAGCACGAGTACTGATACCAACAGCCCTTCAGAGTGAGGTCTTAAAGTACCTGCATGATATTCCCACGTCAGGACATATGGGAGTGGCCAAGACCAGAGAGCGTCTTCGAGCTAAGTATTACTGGTACAAGTGTTCACAAGAGGCCAGGGACTACGTAGCCACGTGTTCGAGATGTAACCGGAACAAGAAACCGCTGAAACATGCACGGTCAGAGTTGACGTGTTTCCATGCAGGCGCCCTCATGGAAAGAGTACACATGGACTTTGTTGGGCCGCTGCCCCTCAGCAGACGAGGGAATCAACACATCCTCATGATCGTAGATCAGTTTACCAAATGGGTGGAGTGCATTCCCTTGCCCAGCCAGAAGGCGGAGGTGACAGCCAGAGCAGCTGTCAACGAGTTTTTCACGCGTTTCGGATTCCCTTTCCAGATACATACCGACAAAGGAAGGAACTTCGAGAGCCGAATGTTCCAGGCGGTGTGTGACCTATTGCACATCTCTAAGACGAGAACAACACCGTACCGACCATCTTCAAATGGGCAGGTAGAGTGCTACAATCGGACTCTTCTCCAGATGGTCCGATGTCACATCGGCAAGTCACAGGACACCTGGGATGAGTTTTTGCCTCAACTTTCCAGCGCAATTCGATCCTCTGTTAACAGGCAAACAGGTTTCACAGCAAACAGACTTATGCTGGGCAGGGAGGTGAACACGCCAGTGGATCTGATGTTTGGATCCCCGGTCCCCGAGGAAGAGGGGCCCAGTGTCCATGAGTATGTCAGAGATCTGAAGGAAGCGATCCAGGAGGCCCATGACCTGGCTCGAGTGACACTATAATCTGCAAGTGCTCGCATGAAAAGGGACTACGACCTGAAAACCTTGACCCGGACATTCCAAGAAGGCCAGCCGGTATATGTGTTGGACTCTGCTGCGGTACTGGGCCAGTGTAAGAAGCTCTGTCCTGTATGGAAGGGGCCTTATCTTATTGTAAGGAAGATCACGTCAAACCTTTTCATCGTGGCTACCCCAAAGAAGGAACTAACAGTACATCATGACAGAATCAAGCCGTGCGAAGACCGTGAGCTCCCCCGATGGATGAAGAAAAAGATGAAATCGGAGGAAACAAGATGGGATCTGGGAGGACTGTTTCTGGAACCGACTGTGGATACTCCAGACCCGGATGCAGAGGATGAACTCCTTTACTGCATATGCCGCCAACCTGATGATGGAGAATTTATGATTGCTTGTGATACCTGCGACGGTTGGTTTCACGGCAAATGTGTGGGGATCAACGAGGTGATTGCAGAGACGATAGGGGAGTACTTTTGCCCGGATTGCCAGTAGATGAATAGGATGACCGACAGTACGGACATGACCGCTAGGGTTAGGCAGGTGATGTTATTCCCACTCTCGGCTGACGTTGGGAGTGGGTGGGTCCAGCCAAGCTTATTCCGCCCTTTTGTGCAGAGAGGGTGGAGTATTCCTGTGATTAGTTTGCATTTCCTCTCTTTCCAGGTATAGCCATGTTCAACACAAGTGGTTCGTCACAGGAGCGATCTTGGAAAGAGGGAGAGAGGGGAAGGAAGAAGGTGGTTAGCAGAAGAGAGCGGTCTACCGCTCCTCAGAGACACAGTGAGTCCGTCCTGATGGCGGATTCCGGGGGAGAGAGAAGGCCTCATCAAAGGCGGAGCCCGAGTCCGGAGAGGAGGTATCGGGGGAGCCCAGAAGGGCCATCTCATCGGCATAGGAGCCCCAGCCGACACCATTCAAGGAGAACTACAAACACGCAGCATCAGGCAAGATATGGGCGCAGCCCAAATCGTCGCGGGGAAAGACTCAGCTCAGCAGGCTCAGCAGCCGTAGGAGCTCTCCAAGGAGTACTGCTGGTTACAGGAGCCCCAGTCCTCGGAGCCCCGGTCCTCGGAGAAGTTCTTACAGGAGTCAGAGCAGGCAGGGGCCAATGCTGTCGAGTGAGGACAGAAGGCACCAACAGCCTTCAGCAAAATCCAACCGGTCCTGGTCCGTCGTGCAGGCGGATCGGGCAACAGTCCAGGTCAACACCGGGACCTGGACACATGTGCACGCGGAAAAGCAGCCCGAAGCGTCACAGTCCGTCGTGCAGGCGGATGGGGACGCACAGTCAGAGGAGGGCCCTCAGGAACGAAAGAAGAGGTTTAGGGGAGATCAGCTAGGGTCGGCCGTCGAGCAGGCGGGTGAACGAGCCCCTTTCAAAGTCCAGAAGGAAATAGTGACCGGAGCCCCCCCCCGAGGAGGAAGACTCAGTTCACAGTGGTTTTTTCAGCCAAAACCAGTCGCGGGGGCAAGGCTCAGGAGCTAATCAGAAGCAGGGCTCGGGACTTCTTCCGGGAACAGCCAGCAGGCAGAGAAGAAGCCCCGGATAGACCGCCAAGAAAAATATCTTGGGAAGGTTAACAGTGGGAATGTATGGCAGTCCCAGACAGCCCGCCAAGGAGGAAAGTAACCTGGAATAGCCCGGTCAGCCTGACGGGGAAGAGGAGGATACCCTGGGAAGGCCAGGACCAGGTATCCAAGAGAGCCTGCAAGAAAAGCGTGAGTCCGCCTCCGCCTGGAAGGGATACTTCGGGTGGAGTACTGCAGAGTCGGTCCGGCAGGCAAGGCATCAGGCGGGACCACACTGAATCCCGTTGTCCCCTGCGGGGTTGCCCTATTAAGACGAAAAAATTGAAGAGGCATGTAGTAGACCGACATCTGCCCTGGTATTTCAAGGATAAAGAAGATGAAAAAACCATGCAAGACCCGGAAACCCACTCCAGAAGAGCATCTGCTCTTAATCAGTTGGCTCGATGGATCCTGGGAGCAGAGGGGACTGTTTTCCAGTTGGTCCAGTATGCCAATCGATGCCTACAGATTCCAGCAGATAGCGAGATCACTCAACTGGCGTGTGCGGGGATGAGGGAGCTGATTAGGAGGGAGGGGTGGTCACAACCTCCTCGCCTCAGCCTACATCCCATCAATTCACCGGCTTGCCTAATGTACTGGAGGGTGCTGGCATCGCTAATGAATGCACTCACCCCATCCCAGATCAACGAGTTCCGGACGTTTCTACAGCCCGTGGCATCCAGGGCCATTCCACAACCAGTTGAAACCACCTCAAAACCGGAGTCCTCAGAAAATTGGGACCAGGAACTGTCCAGTACCGGTGTAGAGGTGTGGGAACCCATGGATCTGGAGGCCCCAGAGTGGAAAGAGACGGGTGAGGGCACAGTACCGACAATCGTGTCTTCCGACCATACTTGGGGAGAGACGGGTGAGGGCACGGTACCGACAATCGTGTCTTCCGACCATACTTGGGGAGAGACGGGTGAGGGCACGGTGCCGACAATCGTGTCTTCCGACCATACTTGGGGATGGGAGTCCCGCATGTCGCCCACAGAAGAGGGCACGGTGCAGCAAGTCGTGTCTTCTGGCCAGATATCTGCATGGGACTCTCATACATCATACGAAGGGGATGGCACGGCACAGTATGCCGTGTCTCCGGGGCACACCAGCGGGGGAGCAGGCACGACAGAGACCGCCGTGTCGCCCTTAACCATTCGCACCAGCCATAGGATCCCGGCAAGACTTATGGAAGAGTCAATCGAACTCTCACTTCCAGCCGCGGTGGACAGCCACTTCCACCTCGACCGTACAAGGACAACTGTGGGGTAGTCTGTCTAGGGCCAGCACCGAACAGCTGATAGCGGAGGGTCCACAGCCAGCTCCTCAGCACAGAGTCAGGGTGGTCGGGGCAGTGGAAGTATACTGTGACCCCGAGACGTATCCAGAAGTGGGCAGCCTGGGGAAGTGGAAGGTGGCAGTGGGGGTCCACCCCAAGAAGGTGAATCAGTTAACAGACACAAGATTCCGGCAGTTAGCTCGCCTGTGCAGCCAGCCAGGAGTAGCGGTGGTAGAAATCGGGCTGGATAGGTCGACGAATCCGGCCGGTTGGTGCAAACAAGAGGAGGTATTGAGAGAAGTTCTCGCTATTACCCCCAGAGACAAGGTGATAGTGCTCCACGTGCAAGGGGTGACCGGGGACAAGTACGCGACTGATGTGCATTCCCGAGCAATCGCAATATTAAAGGAACGCGTGCCATCCGACCAACCCCTACATGTCCACTGTTTTACAGGAACTCGGGAGACAGTTCAAGAGTGGCTCTAACACTACCCCAACGCATTCTTCGGGTTTACAGCAAAAAAGGCGGAGAATTCAATCAAAGGCAGGTGCAAGGGCTCCTAGCAGTCCCCCGGGGGCGATTATTGTTGGAAACAGACTCCCCGTATATGCATCCGGAGCGCGGACCCGTTAACTCTCCTGCCATGATTGAGGGAGTAGCAGCCCTTGTCGCAGACCTGGTTGGAGTCGAGTACCACGAGCTGTTGCAGCAGAGCGTGGACAATGCCCAACAGCTGTATGGGTGTTGAGGCTGGCCGGAGAACAGCTTCAGAACCCTTGACCGTCGTGGCTTTGGCGGTCTCAGTAGCTCAGCTTCCGGATGTGACTGACGTGCAGTTGGTTGCCCTCCCAGATGCGGGAGACCCCGGAAGGCCCAGTGGACAATGGCATATTCCCGGCAATGGATTCGTCGGGATATGTCTAAGGTGAGAGGAAGCCCCTTCAGGGTTAGGGGGGGCTTAGGAAACAGGGAGGGATGTAGTGATCGTAGGTTTCCGGAGGTCTTCGGAAAGGTTCGAGTAGGTCGTCCCGTGGCTGACCGCGGGAGACCCCAGATTCAGCAGTGTTGTCAGCCATCGTTGTAAGTAAACCAGGTCGAGTACCCAGCTCAATGCAGTATTGAATATTATACTGACTTGACGAACTGACAGCCCTTGTACGTGAGTAGAAAACAAGGTTTGTGAAACCGAGATATCGTTTTCACAACAACGACATAAATGAAAAATCCTTTCCCTACGTCTAAGAAAACCTCTGCCCAAAGTAGAGTCCATTGGGTGAAGTTGGAAGTTGGAGGTTGGTGTCAGGTTAGTCTCCTTCATTCCTTCTTTCCACCCCATGGTCCGATTTCAATAAGTGAGTGAGTGAGTTCGGTTTAACGCCGCTTTTAACATTATTCCAGTTATATCACGGCGTGTCAGCTTAATGCGAATTCAATAAGGACAAGTATTTTCAGAAAACTCGGAAAATACAAGGGTGAAATTTGCATTCCCAGTTTAGGGATATACACTGCCGAGATCGAGTTCTCGTTTACTTTTTGACATATATATGGCCCTTGTTCGATTTTTTGGGACATTATGCGTATGGCCCTCAGTGAGTACAAGTTTTCCCAGGACGTACTGTGTACACAAGGATGACGCTCTGCATACAAAATTAAGGGATACGTATGTAGATCAAGTTCGAAAACCACTATCGAGAAGCAATATCTTGTGACCATTGTTTTCTTTTCTTTTGTATTTCCTCTAATGACAGTGTAGGGTTCGGTCCAAACGCATAACCCATTAACCGTTTGATACATCTTTCTAAAGCTTTCAGATACTTCAGACAAGAGGTGAAGTGGTGCGTATCGATATTACTCTTTCGTTTGCCAAACCTAGTAAAACACATTTTTTTATATTGTATAAAATTACGAGACTTCATGGAGATATACACTTTATTAGACCAAACTTAGGAACCGAACATTTGATATTCGTGGTAGGGGAGGGGGTAGGGGAGAGAGTAGGGTAGGGGGTAGGGTAGGGTAGGGGAGAGAGTAGGGTAGACGGCAGGGGAGAGTGTAGGGTAGGGTTGTAGGGGAGATAGTAGGGTAGGGTAGGGGGAGAGAGTAGGGTAGACGGTAGGGTAGGGGGGTAGGGGAGAGAGTAGGGTAGGGGGTAGGGTAGGGGAGAGGGTATGGGAGGGGGATGGGTGGAATTCTATCTGTAGATTAAAATACATTCAGACATATGTATTATTCCCTTCCTTGTTTTCTGTGGTAAATCCACGTGTGACCAGAATGTACGCCTGGTCATACAGGCAACAACCTTTAACGTTGTCACAATTCTGCTGTGATTTGACGCGTCGTTTCCTAGTCCCAGACGCATTGTCTTTCAACGAGCGTGACTGTTACTTCACTCATATCCAGGTGGCAGTCATAAAGCATAGTAAAGAATGTACATGAAGACATGGTGCTGTTGAAGGTAAAGCTGGTGCAGACTGGTTCGAGGATGCATGCGCTGGCACAGGCCAACCTTCCATCGGCGGGATATGTACTCATTGGACAGTGCCCAGCATCTCCTGCATTTTGTATTCTGCCAGATCCCCTGTTGAAAGCACCTGCGGAATGAAGTTTCGGAATTAAAATTTTGAAACGTCTGATTTATGGCAGGAGATTATATTCTCATTCGTCACTGTGCAGGGTTGCGTCTCTTAGGGATCATGGTTTCGAATCCCGCCTCGCCTGTTTCTAGGTTTGTGGTTGGTTGGGTGTTTTGTTGTTTAACACCGCACTCAGCAATATTCCAGCTATATGACGGCGGTCTGTAAATAATCGAGTCTGGACCAGACAATCCAGCGATTGATATCATGAGCATCGATCCACGCAATTGGGATCGATGACATGCATCAACCAAGTCAGCGAGCCTGACCGCCCGATCCCGTTAGTCGCCTCTTACGACAAGCATAGTCGCCTTTTTATGGCAAGCATGGGTTGCTGAAGACCTATTCTACCCCGGATCTTCACGGGTCTTCTAGGTTTGTGAGCACAAAACACGTCATCATGGAAACATCTAAGTCCTGCATCATTTCAGGCGTTTTCTCCCATGCTGGGATATAACTGAAATAATGTTAACATCTCACTCGCTTAATAATAAATGGTAGTTTGTACTTAAATATCAATGTGTAAACCAGACAATCAGCGCGATCACCATAATGCTGTAAGGTCTTGTGAATCGATAAGACTGTTTCAACAGCGTCATGGCGTTACTTCATTATGATGCAACTCAATAAGGATAAAGTACTCTCGGTTCATGTGGTATTTTAGTGAGTGAATGAGTGAGTGGGTGAGTAGGGTTTTACGTCGCTTTTAGCAATATTCGCGCAATATCACAAAGGGGACACCAGAAATGACGTATTGTACCTATGTGGGGAACCGGACCAGGCTCTTCGGCTTGACCAACAAATGCTTTTACGATTAGGCTACCCCCCCCCCCCCCCCCACCCCCCCCCCCCCCCCCCCCCCCCCCCACCCCACCCCATCCCACCCCTCTTGATCTTATTGTGAAGCATCTTAGAAAACAAACATTACAAACAACATGTTAGAATAAGGAATTACTTGCCACTCCTGTGTATTAAGTTAAATTAATTGATATTTTCCATTATTACAGATCCGTATACAATTGTCTGTACATTTTAAACGATATAATCAATAACTAACATTGTCAAAAAACAACATACTGTGTTGCGATAAATAATACTTGATACGTCTTCCTAAATGAAAACATACAGTAAGTTCTGCGCAACCTTATTCCAGTTGTGTCTATCAATCAATCAATCTTTATTTCTAAATACTGAAAAGCCCATAGGCCCATAGTACACGCATACGAAGTAGGTGTCTATCCTACCTGGTTCAAATGGTTTCTCGCAGATAAAGTTGTAGAGAAGTGTGCATGGATTGTCAGCAAGACGATGGCCACTGGTGGTGTATGTCAGCCTCACACAGTCTCCTGTGTCATTGGGTTCCGACGGATTCCACTGGGATGAGGTTGGAGAATCTTTGTTATCCCAGTAGTAATCTGACGAAGTAATATTACACCAATAACGCACATGACGTTTCAAGACAAATGCAAACACACGTCTTATGGTTAGAATATTCCCTTACTGCAGCGAGTGAGTGGGTGAGTGAGTGAGTGAGTGAGTGAGCCTGAAGTGCAGGTCGTAGACGTGTACCATTCTAGTGAAACCCATGAGCGAGGGTATGATGCGAATCGGGATCGGGATCGGGGTTTCTTGGCAGCAAAATGTACTTTACTTGTTGGTTGGTTGGTTGGTTGGTTGTTTAACGCCGCACTCAGCAATATTCCAGTTATATGACGGCGGTCTGTAAATAATCGAGTCTGGACCAGACACCCCAGTGATTACTATCATGAGCATCGATCCGCGCAATTGGGATCGATGACATGCATCAACCAAGTCAGCAAGCCTGATCACCCGATCCCGTTAGTCGCCTCATACGACAAGCATAGGCGCCTTTTACGGCAAGCATGGGTTGCTGAAGACCTATTCTACCCCGGATCTTCACGGGTCTTGAATGTACTGAAGTCGGTGAAACTACATTTATAAGAATATATTAATTTCTTTAATTTTCCATTCTACTTACACACTTTGATAAACAACCTTCCTTTTAAAGTGATCAATGTAAATTGCCGGCCTCGCTTCGGGCTTTTCTCCAACCTCAAGCTGACACGCCGTGGAATATTGTTTGCTGTTTAACGCCGCTTGCAGCAACATGGCGTCGGTTTGTAAATAACTGAAATACCGGCCACACTAATAGTACCGGTAAAGACAACACACGTATTCATCTGCTACATAAATATAGAATTTGTGATTCCAAAATATACATAAGCATAAGGTAAGTGAGTGAGTGAGTTAAAATTTAACGTCGGTTCGGCATTATTTCAGCCATATAGCGACGAAGTTAATATATTTACAATTTAGTCATTAATGCAAAGTTTTATTTAAAAACAAGTTGTAAAACATATTTGAGCATACTATATTTAGAAACAATTTATGAAACATATTTGAGCATAACAATATCATATATACATTTTTAAAACACGGGCTATAGGCCACCAGCAACCAAAGCTAGGCCACCTCGCTGGGGATCATGGGGACTTACAGTACCTCTGCTTCCTGCATGATACCCCAGCAGGATTTACGTCATCACTTTAGCCACTGGTGGATAAGGTAAAGACAACATAGGCAATGGCATCTGACATCATTTCTGTCCCTGACATTGACCTCCACATGCCTACCATAAATGTTGATAGACTGGAAATCCTTATTGAGTGCATAATGTGTGACCTTGAGGGTGTTTTGTTTTGTCTGTTGTCTAACGCCGCACTCAGCAATATTCTAGCAATATGACGGCCCTTGAGGGTGTACTTGACCTTCAGTGTCAAGTATTTCAATAAAATTCCAAAGGGTTATTCGCCAAAATGATGACCCTCGGTTTAATTTAACGTAAAAATGAACTACTAGCAGTTCTGGTCAGAGTAGCTCAAAGGACACATGCTTCATTGACCTACAGTAACTGCTTCGTGTGTTATTGTTTACACGAAATTTTCTTCTGTGTCTGACCTCGAGGTGACCTTAACATTTGACAAGACTGGTCAACCTGTCAAGACATATTCACAGGTGTTTTTTTTAGATACACATGTTACGATATTCCTGGGATGTCCAAGCGCCACGTGGTTTCAAAAACAAAGTTGGGCAGTGGCGGTCAAATTTAGACAACCTCATATACATCCCAATATACACGGGTCTGCGTGATAACTTAAAATGTGAGACAAATGGTGCCCCATGACCATCACTTGTGCGCCCTGTCATGCTGATTTGTTTCTTTATGCATATGAATCGGAATTTCTGCTCGGTTTGGTAAATTTGTCCAGGACGTTTTAACTTAAGTTCAGGTATATCGATGATCTGAAATTATTCAATATCATCAAATAGCCAGTTCCCGTCCATTGATTTAACCACCTGAACTAGAGACATGGGGACCAGCGAGATGCCTCATCTGTTTCATATTTAGATCTGGGCGTAGCGATTCAAAGTGACAAAACACTCTCCACAAGTCATTATGACAACTTTCCCTTAATGTCGGGCAATATTCTTTCAGCTCAAGCCTTTGGTGTCAACACTTCACCACTTTTGAGGTAGAATCGAGCATGCTCTTTCCACCAAGATTTCAAAGAGCGTCATGCGATTCGTGCCCAGAAGCTGTTTGAACAGGACATACAACAGATCTCTGTGAAGCTTCAACGAGTGTTGTGGAAGACATGCGGAGGAAATTTTCAAATTTGAAAAATTTCACATCAGTGACAAAACTGATGTCCAATGCAATTTGCCTTTGCATGTGTTTGTGACGTTGGGTACGGTACATTCACGTTTTCGCGACCACCTGGTATAATCACTATTTGATGGTGATTCATAAAAACGATCGACATAACCATACAACAGACTCTGCTTTTTGCAGAAATTTCTTATGAATATTGAAAGGGTTTTGTTGCTTTTATTTTATTTACAATATCGACGCGATAATTTGTGATTTTCGAATATTTAAGACGTTCAACGGGTACGGGAAATGATATATTGCAAAGTAAGTATATGGTTAAGGTCACATATTTTCTCCATTAATTTTCAACGACTAGTAATATTGTAATGTAATTTCATAAGTATATCTTATAGTAAGGATTGCAAGATACATGGTTCACTGAGCAACATATGCTTCATTGTTTTCAGACCAGCGTCGCATGGTAGGATTGCTGCTGTGTGATGTGAGGCAACAAGCAGGAAAGAACATGCTTACCCTTTTCGCGAACTCCTGGTGTCATGAATGATTGTCATACATTATGTTTTACGCACTATTTTACCTTTTACTCCCAATGATACCTGTTTAATCGGATAATCTAGAATTGTTATTCTCTGGCATTGACGTTATACATGTATATGTTTTTTGTTGTTGTTTTGTACTTTAGCAACCAATACTCCAGCAACATTTTGAATACTTGTGATCTGTCCACACAAACCAGCGGTTGATATTATCAGCAATTCGTACTCAACTGTTAATCAGTGTTAGATTCAATGAGTGAGTGAATAAAATGTAGACGTTTTCTCCCATATCAGTAATATGAGAGAGTGAGGGAGTTTGGTTTTACGCCGCTTTTAGCACTATTCCAGCAATATCACGCCGGGGGACACCAGAAATGGGCTTCACACAGTTTGGAATCGAACCCGGGTCTTCAGCGTTACGAGCGAACGCTGTAACCACTGGGCCACCCGACCGCCCATCAGTAACATGAACATGCCAGAGGGATAAATGAACTTCCGTAATTTGTAAGTTTGACAATAAACGCCCGTGCAAAATATCTACTGTCAATTCCAGGTTAGAATTGACCTACGCTGGTCCTAGGATCGGACGGTCAGACTTTGTGACTTGTATATTTGCATGTCATCTAACCTAAACAACGTGGGTCGTTGCGAATAATATGAATCATAAAGTCAATCCAAATCGATCTTTGACAGTCAGCCGTCATAAAGCTGGAATTCTGCTGAGTGCGGCGTTAAAAGAACATTAAACAAAAGCAAAGTTAACAAAACCTAAATACCTGATATGACTTTATGCAATCCCACCCAGTACGCATTTCCATGTCCTTTCATATTCCGAATGACAGAATCGAATATTTCTCGTGAGTGCAACTGTGCCAGATGTCCTGTCATTTCTGCGCATGTCTGATTGGCAGCTTGTAGGGTTTCCGTTCTGTCAGAGAACCAGTAACACACTCCACCAGTTTCGTATGATTGACTATATCCTTGAAAAAAGAAAAGATTTTAGTACATCTCAGTCCATATTGTATGTCAGTAGTGGAAGTAGTAGAAACGTGTTGTTTGCATTTTTCAGACCTTGAATCTATACTCGCGGAAGGAAGTAACTGTGCTTCATACAAAGTAGGGTAAATGTTATGTCATTGAAAAAATAACATAATCTCTAGTCATTCGTCTGATCAAAGTTTTATCATAACAAATTAATCGACAACGCCCTGGACACGCCCTAAAAGCGGACTGGTATGGTAATTCAATTGACGAGGTCATTATCGCGATTGACCACCATTTGCATTATATACAGGCGAGGCAGCGACGGTGTATTGTAGACGCCAGATTGAATGAATTGAAATCCCGGTGATTGACATCATGAGCATCGATATACACAATTGAGATACGATGACATCCATCATCCAAGTCAGCGAGCCAGACCACCCGATCCCGTTGGTCGCCTCTTATCGCATGCATAGGTTTCTAACCCGAATCTTCACGAGTCCGAGATGATTGAAACAGCCTGGGGGATGTTATTCCAATTGTCAAAATATTCCAAAGTGCAAATCTCGTGCATGTATACAACTTTGCATTTCTGGATAGATAGAACATCGTAAAAACCATTAGCGAATTCAAAACATAAGAAAATAAGGTTTAAATGCACTTTTGTCCTGATTATTTATTTAAAAGACTGAAACGAAATTACAGAGCAGGAGGAGCCTATGAATACAGAGGCGCCATATATGGTCTTGTTGGAGGAAATTACCTCCACAATTACCCGTTTTATCGCACTAGCTACCTCCACAATTACACGTTTTATCGCACTAGCTACCTCCACAATTACACGTTTTATCGCGCTAGCTACCTCCACAATTACACGTTTTATCGCAATAGCTACCTCCACAATTACACGTTTTATCGCAATAGCTATCTCCACAATAACACGTTTTATCGCACTAGCTATCTCCACAATTACACGTTTTATCGCACTAGCTACCTCCACAATTACACGTTTTATCGCACTAGCTACCTCCACAATAACCCGTTTTATCGCACTAGCTACCTCCACAATTACACGTTTTATCGCACTAGCTACCTCCACAATTACACGTTTTATCGCACTAGCTACCTCCACAATAACCCGTTTTATCGCACTAGCTACCTCCACAATAACACGTTTTATCGCACTAGCTACCTCCACAATTACACGTTTTATCGCACTAGCTACCTCCACAATAACCCGTTTTATCGCACTAGCTACCTCCACAATTACCCGTTTTATCGCACTAGCTACCTCCACAATTACACGTTTTATCGCACTAGCTACCTCCACAATTACACGTTTTATCGCACTAGCTACCTCCACAAGTACACGTTTTATCGCGCTAGCTACCTCCACAATTACACGTTTTATCGCGCTAGCTACCTCCACAATTACCCGTTTTATCGCACTAGCTACCTCCACAATTACACGTTTTATCGCACTAGCTACCTCCACAATTACACGTTTTACCGCACTAGCTACCTCCACAATTAAACGCCCGCCCTTCCGTTCGCACTCTAGGAGACATAAATATGAGTGGGATTAAATGATTTAAATATACTCTTTCAACAACGGAAATGTGACGAAAAACATCTACATCACAACTGAAGGTTCACTCTTGGTGAGAAAACAATGTGCGAAACACACTATTTCTTCAACTGTGTTAATTCTTTCGCTGATCAGTGATACAACGACGAAGCATCGATCTTACTAACTTCTTTCATTTTTTAGGTATCCTGATACAACATGCCTATATGTCCGACTCTGACAGTGACAATAGTTTTCTAGTAATCATGGAATGGGAATGTTTCTTGAATGATGAATTGGGCATTTCGGAAGAACTACAAATGAACCCCTACCTGTGACAATACTTATGAAAACAACAGGGATGTTCCCAACCTTGGACGCATGGATTACACGTGATTGCAAAAAAACCTATGGTACATCATACATGCTATTGGACTTTGCTGAAGGTTCTTTGGAGACAAACTTAGTGCTTGCCCTATCCGATAGTCGGGTATGAGAGAGAACATTACCATAAACTTGTCATAAAAGTTTGCCAATAGTTGTTGTAATTTACACCACCAGTATTATCTATTTCCTTTATCTCGTACACGCACTCCGACATGAGGATTAGGACGCCATGAATGTGCAAACATTATACAGACCACAGACTACAATACAACCTTTACATCACATTACTTCAAGAACGGAATCTCTACGACCGGTCAAATATAGCAGCACTTAACCATCAGACTTCAAATAACGGGTATCCATTGTCAAAATAGAAGCATACGTAGATTGTTGTGTTCTCCCCTCAGCAACTTGCGCTTGGCGTAAAAAAGGTGACTTAACCTTTTGCCTGCTGACTTGTTTAGCATAGGTGCTGTAAAGAAGGTGGGTTGCCGAAGGAATCGATATTTCGAACATTTAAATAAGACATATACACAATATTATATAAAACAATATCCGGAAATAACAGAGATTAAACCAAAGCGAACAGACATGTAATTTTTAAATTTTCTTTAACTTAACTAAATTACATTATTGAAGGTGGAATGCGTTTCATATTAGGAACTTGTTTAAATCATTACGTTTCTGGAAATTAATTTCAATAATCAAATATCCCAAATATTAATATTAATTGAGCATAAGTTCGTATTTTTATCGACACATAATAGCGTGATGGTAAATGATGAACCATTTCAGTAAATATATTATGCAAACGTTAAGACAGAAAGGAAAGCTTTAAATTTCGAGGCACTCTTTGGGTTTATCCAAGGAGTCACATTATTAAACTTGCAGGATACAATAAACAACTTATAAATAATCAGCAATCCTAATGTCAAGTGGTTTGGTTGAATATTATGAATATATTATCGATATTTTAATATCTACACAGTTCATATTGCCTTCATGTATATACTTGGCGAAAGTCGACGATCGACGCGTGTTTCATTTGTCATTTTCAGTTTGATATGACGAGAGAGAAATAAAGATCGCGAAATCTGATAACAATGTTTCAGTCAGTGTAAAGGTCACCGGTTCTGGGTTCGCAGAAAAAGGTTCCAAAAACATCTTTAATATTCTCGATTGTCAATCTTGCAATGATAGACCAATAACAATATTATGTTATATTTCTTATATCATATCAATATGTTATGTCTCTCTCCGCCGTTGTCGTTGTCAGAAAATAATTTGACGATCAACGAACGCGGAATCCATTACGATTTTAGATTCAGACTTCAACAATCACAAAAAACCCAACAACATAGGAGCGAAGACATCCGTGACTGCAACCCACGTCAAAAACTTGTAAACAGGTGATGATGAAACAATAGTAAATTATGAAGTTTCCTTTATTTGGAATCTATTTCGGAGTTACCTCGATGATAGTTTACCAACTTTGGCATATTTTGTCTCGATCTGGTAGATGTGGCACGTGCTTCTGGCTTCAATAATGGTTGATGCACTTGCAAGTATTTTAATTACTCTTCACCATCTGCATTATTTTGTTATTGAATCCTTATCTAGAATGTAAATATGTTCAGATTGTCTTCAGATATCATCACATAGTTTCAATATTTATAGTGTTTGTTCAGCTAAACAAATAGGCCACGCCAAAACGTGACACTTTCGGAATAACGCATGTCAACGTCATGTCAATGTCCGAAAGTTTCTAGATGCATTATTCTAGAGCATAAGCTCAGTGAGTGAGTTAATATTAAACGTCGCATCGGAATTATTACAGTCATGCAGCAACTAGAACAAGTTGATATACATGTATATACAACTGAGTCATGAATACAAATTTATCAAAAATATGTTATCATAAATTATTTACAATTTTTTAAAACACGGGCTAAGAGCCACCAGTAACCAAGGCTAGGCCACCTCACTGGGGATCTTGTGGACTTACGGTGCATCAGCTCCCTGCACCCCAGCTTGTTTTACGTCATCACCTTAGCTACTGGTGGTTATGCACAATGCTAACTCAAATACATTAAGATTCCTTTGTAGAATAGGTCTTCCGATGCGACGTTATATTTTAACTCACTCACTCACTCACTCACTATTTCGTAATTGCAGGCCATCGGCCCACAGTTACATTTGTATTACAATTGACGTGATGTACACAGCTGTTACTGTTGTGACAATAATGTACAACGAAGTGACATCGCTTGATAGATATAGATAGTTTGACGTTCAATCAATTTACAATCAGTTGTAGACATAATGATATTAAATTTGTGTTTGGTCGGATATTCACAATATTTCTGTGGTAAGTGATCCACCCGTAGCTTGTTATAACCAGAGCAAACTAACAAAAAATGATACTCGTCCTCCACATAGCCAGCATTACAAACACAACATAGTCTTCTGTTAGTGGGATGTTAGCGTATCTCCCAGTTTCAACACACAGCTGATACGAAAAACATCTAAACCGAGCAAGCGCCACTCTCAATTTATTGACGGTCACACAGCTAAGATACAACTCTGTACCAAACGATACCTTGAATAGAGAATAAGAGAAAGGTTTACAACCCTTTTCCAGAAGACTATGCCAATCCTGTTCATAACTACATTTCAAACGCGACATAAATTCTGACAAAAACGAATGAGGATGACTGCAACACTGGTTTTCCCATACAGAGCCAAAACCCAAACTGAACAATAAAAATTTACATTTTGAGACCCTGTGAATTTTACCATTACTTTCTGCCTGAAGCATCATATGTATTTACATTTCTTTGGAAATCGACAATCGGACATACTCAATAACCTTATCCAATAACCAATAACTCTTTTGTATGCATAAAGATATAATGGATACCGCCCACATTCACCTCGAACCATGTTGTTGGGTGTTGACAATTTCACACTGACATCTAGAAAGCCCTTGCATGTCAATGTGTGTATGGTTTCTATTTCATCATTCTGGTGTAAACCCTAGACTTCGGAACCAACTTTAGACCTTAATAGTACCAAATCTCTTTTCATGACAACACACCACCTTTCTTAAAAACAACCACCTTGGTTTTATCCAAATTGACGTCTAAATCATAATCATTACAATACTTTTCTAGATCATCAATACGCTTCTGAAGTCCACCTATGGTATCTGCGATTAGAATAATATCGTCTGCAAATAATAACAGGAATATCTCTGTAAAACAGGATGAAGTTGTATTCCTGGTCCGGAATTCTGTTCAACTTCAGCAGCTAGTTCGTTAACGATCATCGAGAATAAAAGGGGGCTTAACACACAACCCTGACGTACTCCTCTTGGGCACTGAAACATTTCAGAAAATGAATGTTTAATTTAAACACTAGCCTTAACAGCTGTATTAATAGACTGTATAGTTTTTATCATTTTGCCACGTATAGTAACAACTGCCTCAAGGATCAAGGAATTACGTTTTTTCGTAAGATGAATTGGTAAAATTAAACTTGGTTAAATAACGACCATTTCACGAAGCAATTGGATTTGATAATGCTTCAGTCTTGAGCTCACCTTGAGTATGTATAACCAGGATGTACAACATGCTTAGAACATGCAGGTCGATGTCCTTACAATACAAGGCCTGAAACACCGATAATGTATCATCAACAATGACTGCATATTTACCCACAGCCTGTCATGATGTGTTGGAGCCTATCTGACTGTAGGGAAGTTCATCGATATTTGTAAGAACTGATTCAATTCTATTTATTGACAATAACGTGCTGGAAAACAACTAAGCTCTACCAGAATGCAGCTTTTATTGACATATCATACACAGGCGTGTTGACTATGCCAATATCGTTATATTTGATTATTACTAATATAGACATCAGCGAATCGAAAATGATCATATTGGGTTGTCTTGGATACAGAAAAAAATACTTCTAAGCTGATCAACTGTTTCGGACGCTACATATTCTTCTATGATGTTTGCTATCTATCGGATTTCGCTGAAGGTAAGAGACAACCTCAAGTTATTTGCCTTATCCGGTTGTCCTGAACGAGAGAAAACATTTCTAGAAACATGTCATAAAAGTTTGCAAATAGTGGTCGTTGATTACACCATTAGTATTATCTCCTCCCTTTAACGTGTACACGCACTCCGACATAAGGATGAGCACGCCATGAATTTGCAAACATTATACAGACCATAGACTACAATACAACCTTTACATCACAATACCAGGGGAAAGGAATGTCTACGACCGGTCAATATAGCAGCACTTAACCATTCGACATCCGACGCCCAAAAACGGTATCCATTGTCAACATTCATGCATACGTTGTTTCTTGTGTGCTCGCCCATGTTGATTCCTGGTTAGAATTGGTCCCAAGCAGCCTGTGCTTGTCGTAAAAGGTGACTTTATTGTCTTCGGCGACAGCGTGTCATTGGCCCCTGACGGCGTGGATCGCTGCTCGTAATATCAATCACTGGATTGTCGGTTTCAGACAATTCATTTTAGATGAAGTGAACGGACATTTTATACCCCAGAATCATGTCCCTCGCTGCACCAAAATCATCAGTGTCAATCAGACGTTAACAAAGTGATTTAAACCTTTAAAAGTACAATCGTCATGCAAGAATGTTACATCATCCAACACTTAGAGGCACGGTTTTACGGACATTCGGCTCTGAGGATGTCTTCACATATACTCTTACATTTCTTTCATCACTACATGTCACTAATATACACGACAGGCGATGTCATTGTGCATCACAGCGATTTTATATGCAGACATAAAATGTAATTACAATCGTAATGATTGCCCTGGATATGGACCAAACCTGTCCTGGCTTGATGAGAGATAGCCGCCCACATCATAACGTTACCCCCACCAAACCTGTCCACTTCCTGTACGCAGTTTCCGGCGTAACGTTCTCCCCGACGTCTGTAGACCCGTGCTCATCCATCCCCTCGACGGAGGAGAAATCTTGGTTCGTCGCAGAACCAGACATCTCTCCATCGCAGTTGAGGCCATACCCTGTGTTGACGACACCAATGCAGTCGTTGGTGACGATGTTGTGGACTCAATATGACGCATAGAACAGGACGTCCTGCTCGTAGACCTGCTGCTCTTAAACGGTTTCGTACGGTTTGGTCGGAGATTCTGCGCTGTCCCGGTATTTGGGATGCGGTTGAGGTGGCTGTTGTAGGCCTTTCACGTAGGTGGCACAGTCGGATGTAGCGGGGCGGGGGTGGTTACTCTTGGTCGTCCCGACCTTGGCCGATCACGTGTTGACCAATGCTGTTGAAACCGATCCTATAGCCTTGTGTTGGTGCTGGGCGCTAGATTGAAAACCCTGGCTACAGCTGATCGGAATTCACCTTCCTGCAAGCGGCCTTTGACGTTGTTTCTTTGCACGTCTGTTATTTTGGCATGTTGTGGAAATGTCACAGTTCGATTGACGCAGTTGTCAGGCAAACAAAAATCCTGCACTTTAATACCCTTCATAGTGATGCTGCACGTGCAGTACGTGCAGCTCTCTGGCCCTTTTGTTAATGCACTGGGTGCGTTTTTTCCGAATCGAACGTGTTTCCCGACTAATGGTTTGCATGTCCTAGTGATCATTTTGATCGAGGAAATTTGTCACTGACACTATAACACATTAAACCTCTTCATTTTGCACCTCTTGGTCCGCTAATTTTGCTTTGATGGCCAAAAATATCCGTTTTGCGTTTCTTCTTTGGAAGTGATTACATTAAAAGAGATACAGTTTGGCATGATGTTGGTTGGTTGGTTTGTTGTTTTACGCCGCGATCAGCAATATTCCAGCTATATGACGGCGTTGTGTAAATATTCAAGTCTGGACCAGACAATCCAGTGATTAACATTATCGTTGTAGTACTGTTGAGAATGTCATAGAACAAATAAAACCAGCACAATAATATATCAGGATCTATCCAGATAACACATTCTTTACGTGTATATGTCAACATGTCAACCTCGATTCACGCCGTTTGGGTGCCACAGAACGGGGGACCCAGACATTGGCTTCATGTACCCATATGGGATTCAAACAGTTGCTTTCAGTGTGACGAGCGAACGCTTTGCCATCTAGGCTACCCAAACACCCCTACATGTACATTGCCTATGTCAAGGAAGTAGTATTACTTCTGCAAAGGAAAATTTTGTATCAATGATATTATCATGTTTCAGTCTCATATGAACCCGTGAAGATCCGGGGTAGAATAGGTCTTCAACAACCCATGCTTGCCGTAAAAGGTGACTATGCTTGTCGTAAGAGGCGACTAACGGGATCGGGTGGTCAGGGTCGCTGACTTGGTTGATGCATGTCATCGATCCCAGTTGCGGCGATCAATGTTCATATCAATCACTGGATTGTTTGGTCCAGACTCAATTATTTACAGACCGCCGTCATATAGCTTGAATATTTCTGAGTGCGGCGTTAAACAACAAACAAACAAACAAACAAACAAACAAACAAATCAGTATCGTATGTGATAATAATAACTATGTACAAAAACAATTGTACTCAGTTTTTATTACTTAACTGTTATGAGTCGGATGCGTTCAATGTGTTAGAGATAGACTATGTTTCAATAGGATTGTGTAGTGCTAGCTCCCTGTTATCCTTGTAAATGTACATGATAATATCGTGACAAATACGAATATGAAGATCCCTTGGACATTGAATATGCTACAGATATCGTAACATTTAAGTCATTTGACCATCAAGAGGTAATACTATTACAGAAAAAATATCGGTATTCCTTGGACATTAAAATGTTGACTATAGCCTTATCTAAACATTATTTAGCCATCTTCATGATAAAAGTTTTCATTAAAGCGACAAAATCCTGTTCATATTCATAAGAAATTTCTGCCAAAGGCAGAGTCGTTTGTACGATTCCCATTATATCATGAACGTGTGGTACCAAGTGTGATTGTCCTGAAACTCTGAAGATAGATAATATCTTATGTAAGTATGTCTATGGTAACCACCTTTAGTAAGAACTGCCTCATGGAACAAGGAATGACGTTTTTTCACAAGATTAATTGACCGCCTCCGTGGTCTAGTGGTAGAGCATCCGCCCGGTGAGGGGAAGGTCCGGGGTTCGATCCCCGGCCGCGTCATACCAAAAGACGTTAAAAAGATACTTGTTGTTACCCTGTCTGGCGCTCGGCATTAAGGGGCTAAAACAAGGACTGGTCGGCTCGGAGTCAGTATACTGTGTCTGAGTGGAATATTCATGTTAAACTGCGGCATGGTATCTCAGTGTGCTAGCACTATAAATCGGCATCAGTCCGGACTAGTACAAGCAGCCACACACACACACGTACATGCACGTCGCTATGTAAGTGCAATAATCTTTGACGCGACGTTAAACCCCATTTCACCTCACCTCACCACCTCAAGATTAATTGACCGAATTAAATATGGTTAATTAACGACCATGACTAGGAGTAATTGGATTTGATAATGCTTCAGTCTTCAGCTCACCTTTTGTCTGTATCACCAGAATGTATGAGATGAAGAGAGCATGCACGACCACAGGACACAGACTGTTCATTCTGAGAAGATGCTCCTTTAAATGCTGCAGTTGCAGGCGTGCAACATCGATACGGTCTCGTCAGCAATGATTGTATGTGAACACAGTAACCAGTATGTATGTGCTTAAGCGCCTTATGTTTATGCTCTGACTGTTGGGCTTCATGTAGAAGTTCATCGATTTTTGTGAGAAATGTTTTGTTTACACTAATGGCAGAAGCCTATCGAGATGGACATAAAATAATATCGTTAAAAACCACATTGTCTTCGTACAAGCCTTCGAGCTTAATGAGTTGTTCAAACTGTAGAAGTTGAACAAGGTCAATATTCACACATGGTAAAACTATTCTACTGGAATATTCACTGCGCATTTCTCAATTCCAAAGTCGAAGAAGGTCATCACTCTTCCTCATGTCAATTTCAGATTTTTGGATTTAATGGAGCATTCCGAAAATTTTATCATGAAAAACATCCCCCTGACGCTCTCGGTTCCAGATAATGTTTGACGGATTTGCGGCTTATTTGGCAGGCAGACGTCATTTGGTTGTAATATTGTGGCGCTGGACAACAAACAGAAAGCAAACAAAAACTTTTTGATCAAAATTGTGAGGTGATGGGAGGGGGGGGGGGATGTTGCAGAATGAGCAGCCGGACATGCTGCTGACCCTTTTCGCAAAACACCTGGTGTCGTCACTGATACTTTTAGCGATCCATTCATATCACTAATCTGCCTAATTTCGCCCAATGGAATCTATTTCGGGGGATTATTCTTTTGCGTTGGCGTTTCGAATTTCCAATGGTGTATTTTTCTTGTAAATTACATATACTTTCCAATTATTTGAAACATATTTTATGCGTCACCCAGGAAGGACACAATATGGCCAGGAGCATGACACTGAGGTAATTGATTACAAATTTAACGTCACATCGGTGATATTTCAGCTCCTGAAGAAGCCCAACCACAGAAGTATAGAACTTTTTCCTCACACTTTAAAAAATCCCGATTTCCTCATGTTAATCACAGTTGTCACAGCTGTCACTACACGTTTAATGCTATTGGTTACATCATCATAAGGAATGAAGTAGCGATGGCATCTCGAACATACTAGCTTAAAGAAGGCGAGGGGGCACGGGTGGCCCAGTCTTCTAAGGCGCCGCGATTCGCTGTGCAGAGTTGCGTCCCTTGGGCACGCCAGAAACCTATGATTGTTGGTTCGAATCCCGGTTCGCCCCGATTATGTTTCTAGGTTTGTCAGCACCATACCCATGCTCGTTGGTTTCACCGAAGTGGTAAACGTCCGAGACCTGCATCACTTCGGGCTTTCCTCCCACATTAAGCTGACAGGCCGTGATTTAACTGGAATAAAAGCGGCGTTAAACCCAACTCACTCACTCACTCACTAAAGGAGGCGATATGAATCTGTCATATTATTCTGTGTACACGTAAGATGTTAAGCTTAGTAGGTAGATACGATGGTAATTTAAACATACCAACTCAAGTACGATTCCAACTTGTAGTCTATTATGGTGTCTGTTGCATCCCTTGGGCACGCCAGAAACATATGATTGTGGGTTCGAATAACGGTTCTCCCCGATTTGTCAGCACCGTACTGCGCTCGTGGGTTTTATCAAAGTGGTCAGCATCTGAGACCGGCATCACTTCTGCCTTTCCTCTCACATTAAGCTGACTGACACTGACATAATAACTGGAATACTGTTGATAGTGGTCTGAAACGTAACTCTCACTCGTATGGTGTTCATCATAATATAACCAGACTGTGGTAGGTTATACCGATGAGGTGAGGTGAAATTGGGTTTAACGTCGCGTCCTAGATTATGGCACTTATATAGCGACGTGCATGCACGTGTGTGTGTGGCTGCTTGTACTTGACCGGACTGATGCCGATTTATAGTGCTAGCTCACAGATACCATGCCGCAGTTTAACATGAATACCCCACTCAGACACAGTATATATATACTGATTCCGAGACGAGCAGTCCTTGTTTTAGCCCCTTACTGCAGGGGAGGGTAACAACAAGTACCATCTTTTAACGTCCTTTCGTATGACGCGGCCGGGGATCGAACCCCGGACCTTCCGCTCCACCACTAGACCACGGTGGCGGTCGGTAATCCGATAAAGCGGAAACACCCCATACTCATCAAAGAAGAGAGATAACCAGCCCGCGTAGTGTATATAGTACACCGATATAGAACCGATAAAAGAAACTTAAAGTACCAGTTATAGAGACTAAAGTACTGTCGGAAATGCTAGAAAACTGCTTTTTGCCTGTTAAAAAAGGATATAATTTTCACAGACTGTTGTTATTGAAATATCGAGCAACTACCGATCGACCTACCTGTGGTTTGAAGTATTTCAGTCACATGGAGTCCTATCGACAAGTTTACAGTAGACAAATTCGAACGAAAACAGGAAGTTTACATTTATTCTAAGTCCAATGGTGGCAGTCTGAAACGGACTATAGAAATAACTCCGTTATAATGATAATAATGTAGTCTCCATAAAACATCTAATCCACAAACAAAAATCATTTGGGGAAAAGTCCAGATGTGCAACTTCTAAAATGACGCTGTGTTTGTTTTGTTAACATTGCTCCCATGATGCATGTTACATTACACTTGCATAGCCATAACCATTTTACACGATATGTAGTCTGTACTTGGAAATGTATACACGTTCTTTACACTTTAAAGAGATAGAGGGAAACCATTTATTAATTTAGATAGGGTGAATTACCGAACTGCCCTAGCTATTTGGTTTTTAATTCATACCATCAAGTCTACGGTATGATAAATAAAACAAAACAGGGGAGGTCTCAAAAACAAAACTGGGACGTAAAAGGATATTAGACAGCTTTGATACAGGGTGATTAGGAGTATAGTGTACAAGCTTTATGAGCAGAAGGTAACCCTGTCTTGTAGTAGAATTTGGGAGGAATTAAAGATAAAATAATATTAACTGCACTACCTATTGCTCTCCAAGAGATGGGATTATGATACACTGCGCGTGGCGATGACCGAGCACTTTTCAGGGGAAAATATTCCATCCTGTCTATGAGGTCACATTATCTCCGAACCATTCATAGCTATCACAGACAGTGCGTCCAGATAATTTACCTTCATGAATCATTCCACTGACTACATGTGGCTATCGGCAGATGGACAAAAAGCACCCATGGTACCACCAGGTAAAGGTAATCGTGTCATTGTTTTGCATGCTGCAACCCATGATATGGGGCTTATTGATGGATGTGTGCTAGTTTTCGAGGCGAAAAAATCCTGGTGATTTTCATAAGGAAATTATAAGAGGGGATGTGTTCATAGACTGGTTGGAACTTCAGCTATTGCCCATTTATAACAACGTCAGTGTCATTGTCATGGATAACGCCAGTTAATATAACATCCGGGAATCAGATACTCTCGCCCAAACCATGTTTAGTCTGAAGGCGACCATACATGAATATATGACATTGTCGACTTCAGACCATATGAAACGAAAGTTCAACTCATGGAGAAGATTCGGCTGAATAAGAACCCTGTAAAGTACAGGACATATGTGCTGGCGGCACAACACGGTCACGTTGTCTTACGTACGGCAGTCAGACATTGTGAGCTCAACCCTGTTGTGCCCATCTTGGCTAAGTGTAAAGGGTTGTGGCAAGACATAACACAACATTCAAAAGTACAGATTCACATACGTCATCAGCGGTGATAAATGCTACCTCAAGAAATCATCTGTAGAACAACAAATACTTCTGGATTCCAAAACCGCAACCTTCCAATACTCATCCCGTTTCATAGCTCTCAACCAGTCCATCATGTTTCCAAGCAAATATAATGCAGTACATATCTTAAATTGCTACCTAATCAACGCACATGTCAATTAAGTACAATAACAGCAATATTTTGAGACCACCCCCAGCTCGGTGACATTTGCACCTTTTAGAATGCACGGGACGGTGTGAAGTCATCACCTCGGGACAGGTGTTAGGTAATTACCTCAAGTTATAGGCTATTTCATACATGCATGACGACACGAATATTTTCTAAGTTGATCATCATTTTACCTGTAAAAGTACATTTTAAGGGTAATCACAGTGTCAGTTAGGACAGGCTAGATTAGGGCAATTTGCGTTGTTTTGATATATGCTCTTTTTATAAGTCCGATGACTCGTATTTATTAAATGAAGCCAGAAAAGCAGTTTTCTAGCATTTTCGACAGTACTTTACATATTTATGTTTCAAACATACTTTCCATGAACCTTAGGAAACGGGGGTAAAATATCTGTTGCTGGCGTACGGTACTTCAAAAAACCATTCTCACATTGATTTATCAGCGCGTCGGTAGCTTAGTGGTACACTCACTCACTGGGCTACAGATACGAAGGTTGCATGTACGATCGGTGGGTATATACAGAAAACATTTGTCATTTGAGTTTACATTTCATTACATTGTATTCTGATGCAAAATAATTTTCAAGCGAGAAACATTTGTTTGTTTGTTTGTTTGTTGTTTAACGCCGCACTCAGCAATATTCCAGCTATATGACGGTGGTCTGTTAAATAATCGAGTCCTGACCAGACAATCCAGTGACTGACATCATGAGCATCGATCCACGCAATTGGGATCGATGACATGTATCAACCAAGTCAGCGAGCCGATCCCGTTAGTCGCCTTTTACGACAAGCATAGTCGCCTTTTACGGCAAGTATCGAGAAACATTCATGTTACAATCTAAATGGAAGTCGTATTAATAAAATCCCAGGATTATTATAACATCCCTGTTTATTACATTTAACCCGACTGGAGAACAACAGAATGGCGTCAATGGAGGTTATAAAACAAGTTCCGTCTCACCGCCCCAAACAAAGGTAATTACGAGTTTTAAGAGGTCTGAAAATTGAAACGTTTCTTGTGTATATTAATAAAACAATCTTCTTGCGTGTTGTGACGACAAGAAACGGTAGATGTTCCAGACACCGTGATTTAAACAGAGTAACGAGAAAGTATATTCCCGAATTACCCCCTATACTTTTCAGTATGAATGCTACCCTAGCGATGTAAACAATGCA